GATTTGTTCACAGTCAGCTGGGCCAGAGACCCTGCTGGCAATATTCGCCTCTGTGAAGGTTAGGAAGAAGAGCTGGGGGTTTAGAGCCAAGTGGATGGCTGGCTGGCTGGCTGGCTGCCCCAGGCTCTGCAATACTAGCAAAGCTGAGAATTGTGACTGAATCTTCTTCTGTGTCTGGAAAGGCAGCTGTAGTTCAGCAATCACAGAAGGATGGATTAAAACACATAAACATCCAGTATTCCTGGATCCTATTCCTGGCTTGGGGAGCACACCATGACACTCCAATATTGCATCTCCTCCTTTCAGTTATTACCGGTAGTTGATTCTAGATTCACAGAATTCTAGAGTCTAGTCCACCCCCCTGCAATGTAGGAATATGCAGCTGTCCAAAAAGAGAGGCTTAGCCTGCCTGGAACTCATACCTGTGATGACGTAAGAGCTGTCATTATATTTTTTTTCTCAGCATCCTTTCTAAATAAATGAGAACTTTGACAAAATTCAAACTCTTGGTATGTTTGCTTTGCTCATCCCCCCCCCCCCCCGCTGGAATCTTTTTGCTTACCTTCCCCATCAACCTGTAGACCAGGCCTTACAGAGAACAAGGACTACTGTGGTTCTATCATTTGCTTTGCTGCCTAGGCTGTTTCTTTCTGTCTCTGTCTCTCAGTGTGTGTAGTGGTTAAGAGCGGTAGTCTCATAATCTGGGGAACCGGGTTCGCGTCTCTGCTCCTCCACATGCAGCTGCTGGGTGACCTTGGGCTGGTCACACTTCTTTAAAGTCTCTCAGCACCACTCACCTCAGAGTGTTTGTTGTGGGGGAGGAAGGAAAAGGACAATTTTTTCTGCTTTGAGACTCCTTAGGGTAGTGATAAAGTGGGATATCAAATCCAAACTACTACTCCTCCTCCTCCTCCTCCTCCTCCTCCTCCTTCTCTCTCTCTCTCTCTCTCTCTCTCTCTCTCACACACACACACACACACACACACCTTTTCCCATTTACACAGCCTTTGCCAGCTCACATTCCACAGGCCAAGCTTTTTCTGGCATCCAGTAAACAAAGAGGAACTATGGCTGCCCGTGCGGGAGGGTGCGGGGTTGCAAACCCTCCGAGACTGGAGTTGAGGTAGGCAGAGTTGTCAAGAGATTTCCCAAATGCGTCCTCTTCACATCTGGCCAAGCACCTTGCCTGCGCAGCCCAAAAGGCGTGGCTGTGATGTAATGGCTGGCCGCATCCCAAATCACAGCACACAAGCCCCTCTTTCGGAAAGGCTTGTTGCATTTCCACCAGCCCCAGAAACCAAAAATAGGGAAGGGATTGCAGGTGGTTTTGGTTTGGAAAGGATGCCGTCATTTGCTCCTGCAGCAGTAGGGTCAACTGGAGTTCTTCCAGCAAGACTCCGGGATATGAAGCCCCTCACTCCTTCTTAAGCCATCACCATGACTTAGTACATCGTGCCCCCTCCCGCCTCCCCAGCCTGAAGATGTGTGGGATCTGGCTGCTTTCTGTGTCTGAGTAATGGCTTTGTGCTGCAGGCAGTTTGGATAGCAGTGCGGATGAGATGAGCCAGCTGTTGCTTGCAGAGAAAAGCTGTTGAATCCAACCATCAACCTGTTGACGTGACCACCTCTCTCTCACCATGCCCAGCCAGGGCATCTAATAGGCATTGCTAGCCCCTTCCTCCTTGAATATTTGTGCGGTAATAAAGTGACTCCCCATTCCCTCTTTAGAGCAGCAAAGCTTTGCTCATTCATTCACCCAAATGAAGTGGAGGGCCTTAGGGGAAGGGAAACTCACATTTCCTCTCCAACTGGGATTATTGTATAGGAGTGAGAGCTCCTAAGACATTTGCCCCCACCAATGCATTTCGGACAGGGTGGTGAGTAGCCCCAGGACTCCAGTCTAGGAGTGAGGAACCACTTTTGGCCAGCAGGCCAGATCAGATTGTGGCCAACTCAACAGGCCACATTTGACAGGGGGTGGAGCTGCCCATTTGTCAGTCACTTGACAGCCTATGATGCCAGCTGGATCTGACCTCAGCAGACATGGTACGTACAGCTTGCATTTGGCCCTCTTAAGTTTCCTGGACGTTCCTTTGTAAGCGTGAATCGTAGAATCATGGAATTGTAGAGTTGGAAGGGACCCGTTTAGTTCAACCCCTTGCAATGCAGGAATCACAGCTCAGTGAAGCCATATCCTTGCATTCTCTCCACCCGCCGCCCCTAAATATGACATTGCTGGTTAAATGCAGTTGTAGCTCTCAGCCAGAACCTCCTTTCAGATGGTGTGTGCTGCAAAAGACCAATTCATGTATTCCGCTTCCATGTGATGCCAGTCACATGAGAGGGGAGCTGCTCTCCCCACCCTCACTTATTCTGCCGTGCCCTTGTGGGTGGTTCTTTTTAGCTCTCATGATTAACTGCAGACGACAGACCGTCTCTACTCCAGGAATTTGTGCCATCCAAGGTAGTTGCCATACCTTATTACACCAAATAGTACGGTAATTATGGATCTCTCCAGGGTTTAGCCCTAAAGCACGTGAAATGACTATGAAGAGTAAATCTGTTCGGCCTTTTGGGGCAGCGGTGTTGTGGGGCGGCAGAGGCTCCTCCAAGACAAGGGAATCGCGGCATTGGTGTCCCTTCCAAATAGGGGGTGGGGGCTTAAGCCCATGCCACCTATCAGAAGCCAGATCCTAGCCTGCATACCAGATTGGCAAATAGGGAAGCAGGCTAGGACACGGGGTGGGGTGGGGAGCAGAGCCAACAGAGCAGGAAGGCTTCCCTCAGGTCCACTCCCTGGCCATTTAAACAGCCCTCACCCGTTGGGTTCCACACCCCTCCTCCCTTGGTTCAAACTGATGGTTAAGGACTTTGCTGTGGCTATGGTGGTTGCTGTTTTATGGGGATGGGTAGGAATTTGTCCACCAGGCCAATTGGCTCCAACCCGGTGGTTTTGCCTACCTCATAGCAGTCATCACACCTGAGTTGGGCATTGGAGCAGTCCATTGTCTTGGATGGAGGAGAGGTTCTTGTCTCCATCTGCCCCTCCAAACACTGGGCTATCCCATTAAAGAGATCCAGGGGGGAGTGGTCCTGTGGGGGGGGTCACCCTATTTCATGTAAGTCTTAGGAAACTCCCCCCCCAACCTGGATTGACCTACATGTCACTTCCGGTGGGCAATTATTTTTGATCGCCCCATGAAAAGTTGTGGCCTGTTTCTATCCAAGCCAGTCTTTGTGGTCCTTTATTTGCCTGCGGGTTAGGGAGCGGGGAGCACGATGCCTGGACTTGCAAGGGACTCTTAGCATGCAAAGAGCTCGTTTCCCTCTCCAAACCCCTGCTCCTGTCAGGGATTAGGGCTTCCAGACCAGAGGAGTCCCAGCAGCCTCCCTTGTCAGAGAGTCATTCTTGGCCAGCCGCCTGCAGTTGAAGTCGTGGCACCTCCCGCTCCAGGCCTCAGCTCTCGATGCTCATTTTTGTGGTCCTCCTTCACTCTGACACAGGAATTCTGGCTGGGAAGGCTCGTGCTCTCTCGCTATCTGCCAGGCCCTCGGCTTCGATCGTGGAAGGAGCAGGGTGGTGGGAACAGGGCTGAGGCAGCAGGAACGTCTAGTGGCGTTGAGGTTTTGGCAGGCAAAGGAGCTGGAAGAAAGGAGTGCAAGACTATCTGCTGACCCAGCTCTGGGGCTGGGCTGGGGCTTCCGACATGGGATGGCGGGGGAAACAGACAGCGCACAAATGAAGTCTCTCTTCCCCAGCCACCCCCTTCCTTGTGGTTGTGCTTTGCAACCAGAGAATGTGAGGCCAGAATGGAGAAAATGGATAAGGAGATAAAGAATTTTAATGGCTTCTCAGCGATTCCACCAGAAATGTTAACAATACTAAGATTTGGCTGACCATTAGAAAACAATAAATACCATTCAGCCCTCCTCCTCCTCCTGCTGCTGCTCCTTGCCCTGTTGTTGATCCTGGTGTCCTCCTGTTCTCATGCCTCTGTACCAATCGGTCCTCCTTCCCACCAGTATTTACTTTTTTTTTCTTGCATGGGATGTGGGTGGCGCTGTGGTCTAAACCACTAAGCATCTTGGGCTTGTCGATCAGAAGGTCAGCGGTTCGAATCCCCATGACGGGGTGAGCTCCTGTTGCTCTGTCCCAACTCCTGCCAACCTAGCAGTTTGAAAGCACGCCAGTGCAAGTAGATAAATAGGTACCACTGTGGCGGGAGGGTAAACGGCTCTTCCATGCACTCTGGTTTCCGTCACGGTGTTTCTGTTGTGCCAGAAGTGGTTTTGTCATGCTGACCACATGACCCGGAAAACTGTCTGTGGACCTGAAAGCGAGATGAGTGGCGCAACCCCATAGTCGCCTTTGACTGGACTTAACTGTCCAGGGGCCCTATACCTTTCTTTTTCTTTTTTCTTTTACTATTTTCTACATATTTGTAGGACATTTGCCTTCATTTGAAAATGAAGGCTAGCCATATGCCTGTGGGAAACCTGGCAGCAGGATCTGAGTACAAGGGCAGTGTCCCCTCCTGCAGTTTCCAGCAGCAATACTTCTTCCAACTGTGGAGGCAGAGCATAACCATCATGGCTAGTTGCCCTCTCCTCAATGATTTTGCCTAACCCTCTTTTAAAGCCAACTAGGTTGGTGGCCCTCACTGCCTCCCGTAACAATGAGTTCCATCGTTCAACAATGGAATAATTTTCCTGATTATATGATTTGTAAATCCTTTATGAACTGTCACCTTTTCATACCAGAAATAAGCATGCCAATGAAAAATATTGTCATGACCTTCTAAGTCTAAAATATGTGAATTCTCTAATGTCATCCATTCCTTCAACCAACAAAGATAGGCTGCCTCATAATATAGTCTCATATCTGGCACATGTGGATTTAACTTACTTTTCTTCACAGGCTGTGTGGCTTCTTGCTGTACTCTGAAAGGGCTTCCTTGTTGCTTTGGACATACACTTTGAACTGGGGCCAAAATTCAAGAATGGCACAGGTTCTGCACATGGAGACCACTGCTTTCCCAGGTATGTGTGCATGTGCGTGAACACTTTCCATTTGGACAGATAAAGCTGCAAGATGGGGCATCAGGTCTGCTGGATGTGATGTAAGGCCAACCCTCAGATAAAATTTTGAAGATCCATTTCCTAGATTTGATAGGGAGAGGGTATTTGATGCAGAGGTTGATAGGAAGCAGTAGCAGTATATTCTGAAGTACAGGGGCTCATCAGGGCAGTCCCCATAATCGCACACTCCACCCCATGTTCCCAAAATTAAGAAATGCAGCTGTGTATTGTGGCCCTGAAAAGTCCTGCGCACCAGAGTCTGTGTACACCATTTTACAGTTTTCCCTGTGGATTTCGTAACTTCTGTAATTTGATTTTTAAAATATTTTATGCTGCTTCTTGAAAATGTGTGATGCATCTTGAACCTCCACACAAAAGCAGTACCATACTAGAAACAAGAGAATCTACTGAGACATGGCGGTCACCTGAACTATTGTAGGCATTCCGCTGTCATCAGCTGTTATGGCACCTAGGACAGTTGTAGAGAAATAAGCTGAGGCTTCAAAATAATCTCTTAATGTGTAGGGTTGGTCCCCACTTCTGCTTCTCCCACCGCTTTATGCTGGGAAAACCCGCTCTTTAGCAGCGAATCAGAGCAAACATCAATTGGCTTTTTCTATACAGTGGTGCCCCGCAAGACGAATGCCTCGCAAGACGGAAAACCTGCTAGACGAAAGGATCTTCCGCTTTGGAGTTGCCAAGAAAACAGAAATTCCTATAGGCTTACACACAACTGAGGAAAATGTCTTAGAGTTCCTACAGGGCTTTTCCCTTAACACCCTTTTCCTAAGCCGCGAAGCCAGAGTATCAGCTGATCTGCTGCTCGCTAAGACGCTAACAGCTGATCGCTAGCCGCTATCAGCTGATCTGCTGCTGCTAACAGCTGATCTGTTAGCCACTGCCGCTATCAGCTGATCCGCTAAGCCGCTAACAGTTGATCCGCTAAGCCACTTATCAGCTGATCCGCAGCTGCTTAACAGCTGATCCATTAAGGCATTAAAGCCGCTTATCAGCTGATCAGCTAAGCCCGCTAAGCCGCTAATAGCGCTAATCCCTAAACCGCTTAGTAGGCTTAGCATAAAGACGAGGAAACCGCAAGACAAAGAGATCTCAGGACTCGGCAGTTATTTTCGTCTTGCGAGGCACCACTGTAGTTGTGTAAAAAGAAGAAAAAGAAGATGAAAGACTTGCTGATTTGCCAAGAAAACAGAAATTCAACACACACACAACTGAGGGAAATACAGGCTACAGACTTCAAACCCTTACATATGGGGAGAAATAAGAGTACGTTTGCACTCAAAGGCAAATCCACTTACCATATTTTTCCGTGTATAAGACTATATTTTTTCCTAAATTTTTGAAGTTTAAAATAAGGGGTCGTCTTATACACGGATAGTGCATAGTGCATTGTCTTAATTTTGAGTCCCCAAAATTAGGGGGCGTCTTATACATGGAAAAATACGGTAATTCACACATTCCAAAACACCGCCATCTTTCAAAATTCACACTCCTCCAGATTTTCCCATTCAAGTAAATTGTACAGAAATGACTGAATAGATTTATTTCGGTCACTGACCTGAGTGTGTATGTAAATGAAAAATGTAAAATACTCCGTGAAAAGTACATAGAAATGCGCCTATTAGTGAAAGCAGCATACAAAAATACTATATGTTAGGAGAACATGCATTAGAAAATGAGTATTTTATGAGAAATGCTGATGACTTTTAAAATAAAAAATTGTAGACTGAGGTGGAAACGTGAAGTGAACTTCAGACTGGGAAAATGAGAACTGAGAGAAATCAAAATTGTCATTTTCACCCATCCTTCACTTGTTTGAAACTGGCGCCACTTGCTGGTGGAAGAACTCCTGTGGTGCCACTGAAACATTATAAACGTCTTAATTGCTCCAAAGTTAGTACATGATAGTTGTTTATTTCCTTGACATCTGATGGGAGGGCTTTCCACAGGGTGGATGCCACTACCGAGAAGGCCCTCTGCCTGGTTCCCTGTAACCTCACTTCTCGCAGGGAGGGAACCGCCAGGAGGCCCTCGGAGCTGGACCTCAGTGTCCGGCTGATCAATGGGGGTGGAGATGCTCCTTCAGGTACCATATTTTTTGTTCTATAAGACGCACCAGACCACAAGACGCACCTAGTTTTTGGAGGAGGAAAACAAGGAAAAGAATATTCTGAATCTCAGAAGCCAGAACAGCAAGAGGGATTGCTACGCAGTGAAAGCAGCAATCCCTCTTGCTGTTCTGGCTTCTGGGATAGCTGCGCAGCCTCCATTCGCTCCATAAGACGCACACACATTTCCCCTTACTTTTTAGGAGGGAAAAAGTGGGTCTTATAGAGCAAAAAATACGGTATGTTTGTTGAGCCAGGACATGATGGTCCCAATTTCATCATGTATGATCAGATGATCAGTGCATTCTCAAGGGTGCTCAACTAATTACAAAAACAAAGGAATGTTTTAAGCTGACCTCTTCCCCCCTGTGCTCTTGCAGGGAAGGCCAATCCCACCTCTGCTACGGCCTTCCATGGGAAGGAGCAGGACTTGCCCTATTCCGTGGAGACTCCCTATGGCTACCGCCTGGACCTGGACTTCCTCAAATATGTGGATGACATTGAGAAGGGCCACACCATCAAGCGCATTCCGGTCCACCGCCGACCACGCTACAGCTCCCTGCCAAGAGGCTATGGTTACACTGGCTCATGGTGGACCTCCACTGAGTCCCTCTGCTCCAACGCCAGCATGGATAGCCGCCACTCCTCCTATTCCTACTGCGGGCGCAGCTTCTACCCACAGTACGCCACGCCCGGCAGCTTCAATGCCCGCGTGGAGAAGACCTTGCTGGATGCCAGGAAGAAGCTAGAAGACCAGGCGGATTCTGGAGATGGAGAAAGGACCAGGGCAGGTGGTCTTGGGAGCCTCCACAGCAGCGTATCTGGATCAACAAGCTCCTTGGTGGGAAGCCAGTGCCTTTCCCGCCAGACTTCCTACAATGGCTCACAGCAAGGCGCCCCTGGGCAGTTTACGCCCATCGGCTCAGGACTCTCCACCCCAGTCTCCCCAACGCCAGGTCACCTCCAGCATGTCCGGGAGCAGATGGCTGTAGCCTTGAAGAAGCTGCGCCAGTTGGAGGAGCAGGTCAAGATGATCCCAGTGCTACAGGTGAAGATCTCTCTTTTATACAGTGGTACCTCGGGTTACATGCGCTTCAGGTTACAGACTCCACTAACCCAGAAATAGTGCTTCAGGTTAAGAACTTTGCTTCAGGATGAGAACAGAAATCGTGCTCCGGCGGCGCGGCAGCAGCAGGAGGCCCCATTAATTAAGTGGTGCTTCAGGTTAAGAACAGTCTCAGATTAAGTACAGACCTCTGGAACGAATTAAGTACTTAACCCGAGGTACCACTGTATAATAATTTTTTATTTGGTTTTACAAATTAAAATTTACTTTCAAAGTCGTAAGTAATAAAAAGGTAAATAAACAAAGATTCACCCGAATCTCTGGGCTTCTTCCCCCCACCCTTCCATGGGTTCCATCGTTAGTCCTTTTCCGCTGCATATTTTAAGCCACTCCAAATTTTAAGTACCCTAGTACCTGTTACACTGCAAGTGTTATTCAAATCCTGCTAAAGAGTTCAAGTGTTTACAGTGATCTCCAAGGTAAATTATAAATTTCCCCCGTTCTTTGTTGAAATTCTGGTCTTCCTGGTTTCTGATTTTCCCAGTCATTTTCACCATCTTTGCATAGTCCATCCATTTGGTCTGCCATTCCTGTCTGGTGGGAACTTTGTCTTCCTTCCATCTCTGAGGCTAAGAGCATCCATGCAGCTGTCGTTGCGTACAGAAACAGTCTTTTGTGCTCCTTTAGTATTTCTGCACCTAAAAAAACCTTCTGGTTTTTTAACAAAAGTTATTTTAAACATTGTTTTTTCCAATTCATTATAAAGCATTTCTCAGAATTCTTTTACCACCTTGCACTTCCACCACATATGGTAAAAGGTGCCTTCTTTTTCTTTACATTTCCAGCAAATATTTGAACTTGTCCTATACATTTTTGCTGTTTTACTCAGAATTAAGTACCAACGATACATCATTTTCATGTGCTGCAGGTGAAGATCTCGGTGCTGCAGGAGGAGAAGCGGCAGCTGAGTGTCCAGCTCAAGAGCCAGAAGTTCTTGGGGCACCCGGGGGGGTTCGGCAAAGGAAAATCCCGGGGGGAGCTCTACATAGATATCCCCGAGGAGGGGGCTGGTGGAAATGAGGAGGGCAGCGTGGGGCCTGATGCAGGAGGCAGGCTGGACAAGAAGGAAGTGAGGTCAGTGGGTGTGGGCATGTCAGCCGAAGAGGCAGAGGTGGGGAGGTGTGATGTTGGGGTGGCGGTCAAGGAGGAGGAGTTGGGGTTGCCTTCCCCGGAGGAGGAGAGCCAGCGCCAGGCGGTTCAGGCCCTGTCCGCCAAGATTGCAGTGCTAGAGGTGCAGCTGAAGAGGGCACTCCAAGAACTTCAAGCCGCCCAGCAGAAACTGGAGCTGCAGGGCAAGGAGAAGGAGGGCAAAGGAACGTCTGGTGGTGGCCTGAGAGAATGGGAAGTAAGGGGAGAGGGTCTGGGACAAGCAGGCGGCAGAGAGTTTCAGAGGCCCCAGGAAGTCCCCATTCGGGTGGATACAGTCAAGGTTGTCCAAGTGGAAAGGGAGCCAGAGGTCGCCGCCAGCACAGCCACAGGGCTGGACCACAGGCCGCAGAGGGCACAGAGCTTGGAGAACAAGGAGTCCTATGCCAGCCTCAAAGCTTTGGCGGGCAAAGACGCAGGGTTGGAAGAAGCGATGGTGCCGCTCTATGCCACATACCGCAGCAACGAGGTGATGGAGACCACGTTCCCGGTCCATGCTGGCGCAGAGAGCACAGCTACCACCTTCCACACTGTGAAAAAGATCAGCATCATTGGCACAGAGGGGAATGGACAGCAGGATACAGCAGGTAAGCTCTTTCTCTCTCTCTCTGTGTGTGTGTGTGTGTGTGTGTGTGTGTTTGTGTTTGTGTGTTTCTGAAGGAGAATACACTCACCCCAACTGTGGAAAATCTGTCGCATCTTCCTGCATTGCAGGGGGTTAGATGAGGGTGGCCCTTGGGTTCCTTGCAACTCTACAATTCTGTTACTCTTCCCACAAATCCCACCAGTCCTCCGACTAGGGCTCCCCACTCTAAATAAAACTTTTCTGTCATTTCTTCATCCAAGTCCTTAGGGTACATAATAAAACAGCAAAAAAATTTGGGGAAATGGTGGTAAGGATCTTTCCATTCAGTTTTGCAGCACATCAGATGTGCTGTTGTCGTGTGAGACCCAAAAATCTTGGCCAAGAGAAGAGAACAAGCAGCTTGGCTCTCCTTCCTCCCCGCCTCCCAAATCTATGCTTCTCTTTGTTTACTTGTGGACTGGATGTTGTGCTTACCTGCTGCCTTTGAATTGGGAGTGCCAGGAATACCCTGTAAAAGCTGAAATGTGTTGGGTGCATTCTCTGAACTGATTGATTTTTTTTTTAACCCACTAAGTATAAAGCTCTATATCAAATTAAAATGACCCCCCCATGCCAGCTTAACTCAAGCTGCCAGAGAACAAAACAATCGATTAAAACAGCCTGTCAAAAGTCCCAGCTTTGGTGAGTCTGCAGGGAAAGAGAGTCCTGGCAGCCCCTTTTTCTCTTCCTTGTCTGGGCTTACCAGAAAATGCACGCCCTCGTCTTTCTCCCACTCTCTGGACTAAAATCAGTGGCAACGCTCGGCTGTTTTCTCCCTGCCCTGTAAAAGGCTTTTGTGTAACTAATACGCTGATTTTTACCAGCTGTTTATAGCAGGAGCAAGGGAAAGAGAAACTCTTAAAATAGTCTGTGATGTTCCCAGGGTGAGATCAAAGGTTCTGGAATGAAAAGATGATTGGAAGCTCCATTTATGAGCCAGCTATGCCACAAAGAATTGGTGGAAAAAGAGCTCTCATGAGTCAGGAACCAGCTTGAGCTCCAGGTCCCTGGAGAGCCCAAGAAGAGACTGGTGTCCCTCCTAATTCTCTTGGAACTGGGTGCATCCTTTGCTCAGCATATAAAGGCCACAGCAGAATCTCCAGAATAATCTGGATTTGAACTCCTAGCCACCTGGGGATGAGCTGCTGAGAGCTTGGTGCCCACATATGGGCATGAGCCGGGGGAGGTTGTTGTGGGCGCTGTATTAAATGGTTAAGATTTTCCAAGTTTATTTTCAGCTGCTTGGTGGAGAATCCAGCTGCATGGATTCCAGAGGTTTGGGGGGAAAGAACTGAAGGCCTTGGACGCTATGAGCTGATTTCACACATTGCCATTGTACATGTTCACAGTTGGGCAATACCTTTGTTAGAACCAACCAGAAACTCACAGAAATGCTGTAGGCAGAAAAACAAAACGCAATGGTTGGAGGACGTTTTCTCAGAATCCTTTGAAAGCATCTCCTTCCCTGGGGCATGAAACTTCCGATCTCTACTCCCCACCTCACAATACCTGTTGCCGAATGTTCGTACAGGGAGATTTGCCCCTTTGGAGGTCAGTGAACAAAATCTCCAAAATGACTGTTTACCAGCCTGATTTTCCATCTTCCTGGAGGATTTGGTGCACCTCAAAATCTTGCACGGTCTCCTCACACCAACAGAACCAGTTCAGTAAGAGATCACCCTCTTTCCTTGGATTGCGGCAGCTGTGGGCAGCCTGTGGGGTGGAAGGATTGCAAGAGGAGAGTCTGCAAGGTAGAGCCAGAGTCCAAGTCAGGATGCCCAGCTCAGTACAGGAGCCATGACATCCTACCTGGTGAGTAACACCTCAGAGAAGCTGGTGCTGATGCAGTTGCCTCTCTCTTCTTCTTCCAGAACTTCATGGGTCATTAGAGAAATCAGTTCCTGACTCCCTCCAGACAGAGCAAGCGGCTCCCTGCATATCCCAGGAGCCTCAACGAGAGGCACGAGACGAGGGAGAGGACCAAGGTAAGGACTGGGATGGAGAGAGGTGCCATGGCCTCCTCCATAGAGAGCCTTCCATATACGTAGGGCTGCCTCTGAAGACTGTTCGGAAACTTCAGCTAGTGCAGAATACAGCGGCCAGGTTGCTCACCGGAGCAAGATGGTTTGAGCATATTACACCGATCCTGATCTGACTGCACTGGCTAACAATTACCGTATTTTTCACTTCATAAGACGCACTTTTTCCCTCCTAAAAAGTAAGGGGGAATGTGTGTGCGTCTTATGGAGTGAATGCAGGCAGGAGGCTCTGCTCATCGCTCCCTTTAAAGAGCTGCGTAGAGCGTGTGTGCAGGTCTTGGGGGCTTTTCCCCAAGGAGGGAGAAGGGCAGCCCGTCAGTGAATGGCTGCCCTTCTCCCTCCTCAGGGAAAAGCCTGCAAGCGCCGCACACACGCTCCACGCGGCTTGTGAAAGGGAGTGCTGAGCAGAGCCTGGGATGCATACAAGCTCTGCTCAGCGCTCCCTTTAAAGAATATTTTTTTTCTTGCATTCCCCCTCTAAAAACTAGGTGCGTCTTATGGTCAGGTGCATTTTATGGAGCGAAAAATACGGTAGTTTTCGGGCCAATTCCAAGTGCTGGTTTTGACCTATAAAGTCTTAAACTGCTCAGGACCACAATACCTCAAGGACCGCCTCTTTCCATATGAACCTACCCGGACCCTGAGATCATCTTCTGAGGCCCTCCTTCGTGTGCCTCCACCTCGAGAGGTCTGGAGGGTGGCAACATGAGAACGGGCCTTCTCTGCAGTGGCTCCCCGTCTGTGGAATGCTCTCCCCAGAGAAGCTCGCCTGGTGCCTTCATTATACACCTTTAGGTGCCAGGCAAAAAATGTTCCTTTTTATCCAGACCTTTGGTTGATCTGGTTGATATCCTATACCCTTTTAAAATGTGCCTCTTTTCTTGGGGGGGGAGGTTGTTATTTATATTCTGTTGCTTATATTCTGATTATATTTGTTGTGATCTTTTCTGTGAACTGCCCTGAGACCTCCAGGTATAGGGCGGTATATAAACTCTAATAATAATAATAATAATAATAATAATAATAATACACTCTAATGGACTGCTGCCACCTTCCTCCATTTCCCCACAGCTTCATTCGCAGCAGGGATTCGGTCGATCATGAAGAAGAAGGAGGATCCTACAGAGCTTCTGGCCAGCAAGAAGAGCCTGCAGTTTGTTGGTGTCAATGGCGGGTATGGCGAAGCCTCTGCTCCCAAAATAAAAATAGAATGAGAGCCTTCCGGTCTGCTCTTGAGTCCAGTGAGGCTGCAGCCAGGCAGCAGCAGCAGTTTCCCACACTCCTGGTTGCCTGATTTCACCCTAAACCTGGACTGTAGGAAGTCAAATCTTGCTACCACCACAAAACAAAACACACACAGGTGTGGGATTTTGCGCCAGAGTCGTGCTGTTTGCAGGATTTCCACTTGCAGGAGCTAGGAGGTATTTTCAGTCCCCATGTGGCTTGTGATCCAAGATCAGCACACCTGGCACCTGGGAAATCCTCTGCCCTGAAGTGCTGTAATGGCACAGAGCTAGGCAGAACTAGGCACAAAGCTTTTCAGGAGGTTTCCCTATTTCTCCTCTCTGCTCTGTGGGGCTGTTTTCTCTGTTGTTCCTTCTCACCCCCTTGTTGCCCCCACCCCACCCCAGGTATGAGTCCACCTCCTCTGAAGACTCCAGCACAGCTGAGAACGTCTCGGACAATGAAAGCACCGAGAGCGAATACCACGAGGCGAGCGAGGGGCTCCCTGCAGCCCAGGCAATGGCAACGGAGCCCCCGAAGCTGCCTGGGACAGCCGCAGCCGTATCTCGCCCTGGAGTGTCTGCCGAGAGCGGGGAGATGCCAGCCGCAGAAAGCGCCAGCAAGGAGCCACCAGGCAAAACAGGGTAACCATCAACCTTGGGCATCTTCCCGGCTGTCATGACTCTGTGCCCCAAATATTCCACATTCTCTTCTCTGGAGAAAGAAAACTTTACTCCCAGAATGAATGATTCAATACACATAGAACGTGTACCGCCTCTTGCTCATTCTCACAAATACCATTTGCTAATATTTTGGCCAGAACTGGAATATCGTGAATGGAAGGAAGGGCAATTTTTAAAAAACCAGAATACAGGGAGGAAAAGTGAGGCAGCAGAAAGGGAACGGTTGAGATCACTGAAGCTTTGCACATATCGTCTTCAGTCGCTGTTCAGATATCTCTCTTTTACTCTGGACAGGAAATTCATAGTCAGATTTTCATAGCGCATAGCTGTAACATAAGCAGAGTTTATAATGTTACACCTGTCTTCCTCTCTCACCAGAACTCACTGTCCAAAAACTAACTTCCCCCGTGTTCTTCTTTCTATCTACCCATTCCAGGACAGGACTCAGCAAGGAGCTGCTTTCAGCTTGTGAAGTCCTTCAGAAATACCTGGAGAGCCCCAATGAACACATGGACGAAGAAATGGTACACCTGCACTCTCATTCTTGAGGGCGGAAGCTCTGGAGGGTGGAAGGGAGCTTAAAGTGGGAGCATAGCTCTCATTTGTTGTTGTCGGCGTCTGTGATACTGTAGAGCAGTGGTTCTCAACCTGTGGGTCCCCAGATGTTGTTGGACTACGACTCCCATCACGCCTAGCTAGCAAGGCCAGAGCTCAGGGATGATGGGAGTTGTAGTCCAACAACATCTGGGGACCCACAAGTTGAGAACCGCTGCTGTAGAGGCTCCTGATTTCACGGAAAGGCGTTTTGCTGGCTCAGAGAGACCTAAAGAAACCGTTTGATCCCTATCCACATGGAGAGGAGGTTATCTCTTAGAGAAGAACTACCAGATTTGCCATTTGCACAGGGGCTTCCCTGCCACTTCACGGAACCACAGTTCCTTGGGATTGGCTTCCTTTGGGAAACCATGCTAGTTAAACCAAATTAAAAGTATTAAGGCTGTAATCCTAGTGCGCCCAAATTGATCGCTTGTGGGAGATGAGGAGTGCTGCTGGGGTGGAACAGGGAGGGGGAGCTTTGTGGCAGAAAAAGGGGCAGGAAGAAGATCTCCCAGCAGTATCCAACAGATCAAGGGCCCAGAGGCCTTGGACCAGTAGGATCTAAGGCCTTGTCAATACCCCCAGTGCTCCCAGTCCTCAAATTCCTCAGCTTCGAAAGCAAAACCAAAGCATCCCACAACTACTGTCTTCCACCCTGGCTATCAGGAACTGGCGGGGCTTCCGATGAGATAGTGAGCCTGCCACATAATCCCTTTCCCAACCCCTAGTTGGGACTGCTCCTCCTGTTTGCCATGGTGTTTGAGGAGGGGGAGACGCCCGAGGAGACCCAAAAACGTCTAGCAAAGAAGACAAAAAAGTGGGATGTAACAGCTTCACACACCTGACAGTTGCCACGGCTGCCCTTTCCTTCCTGTGTTTCCATAGAAATTGGCCTATACTGCCGTGCTCCACTATTGGCTAAGGCTTTCCTGCCACAAAGAAGCGGATCCAGAATTGGTCTCACAGCACTTGGCTGCCTTCCGGTGCATCTCCCCACACTTGCTGGAATTCATCATCAATATGGCCGACGCCAACGGCAACACGGCCCTCCACTACACTGTCTCACATTCCAACTTCCCAGTGGTCACAAAGCTTCTTGAAACAGGTAGGTGGGCATAGAGAGAAATGGGGAAATCTGGAATCCAGAGGCGGGCTGGCCCACAGCTTGGTGGTTCACTGGGGCATCCCTTTTGCTGCAGCCTCTTGTGCTTCAACTGCTCAGCACCTTTGGAACTCCATGTGGCCTGAAGCTCATGCATGCCACCATTTGGGTGTCCAGTCAGGCTAGCTATTTATGGCAGGGATGGGGAGCCTGATGCCCTCCAGATGTTGCTGGACTATACCTCCCATCTTCCTCCTAGTGGTGCAGCAATAAAACTGCTAGCATACTTGCAAAGCTAAGCAGGGTCCGCTCTGGTTTCAAATTGGATGGGGGACCATGCATTGTGGGGGGGGTTGGACTAGTTGGCTCTCAGGGTGCCTTCCAACTCTACAATTCTTTTCTTTTTAATTTTATTCATTTTTCTTTTTCATTCATTACATACATCTCAAATTCTTAACATTTACTATATATTCTTCCCTCCCTCCCCTCCAAGGCTTCCCCCAACTTCCGCTTCTGGTTTGCTTCTTTTCTATCTCTCAACAGAAAAAGTTATTAATAACATAACATCAAGCCTAAAAACATAAAAATAAAAGTAAATACACCATCATATTTCACTATCTTCTAAACATTTTCTAATGCTGATAGTGTGAATGTTTATTTAAATCCTGCCATCAAGTCTATTGACTTTCTTTGTTTCTGCAAATATAATATGAATGGTTCCCAGTCTTTTTCAAAGTCTCTGTTGTCTTTTTCTCTTAGTCTATCTGTCATTTTTGCCAGTTCTGCATGGTTCATCAACTTCTCTTACCATTGTTCTTTGGTTGGTATTTCTCTACAATTCTATGATCCCTAATCAGTGGCCATGCATTGGGCATTGGTCAGCATCTGGAGGGCGACATATTGCCCTTCCTGATTCATGACATTCATTGTCATCAATCCTCCAAAGAGCTAGAATGGCTCTTTATCCCTCTCTACAACCTTGTGACATAAAAAAAGGCCACCCAGTGAGCTATATGCTGAGTGGGGATTTGAAGCTGGCTTTCTGACGCCAGAGCCCAATGCTACTCCACTCCACTGGAGAGAGAGGGAGAAAGAGGAGTCGGCTGAGAGTTTTATCTTCATACAATCTTGGCTGTCTCTAAGTGCAGATCCCAGTCATTGAGCCTGAGCTTCTACAGCCACTGCCCAGTTGATATGTTCTATGCTCATGGTAATATTTTATTCTCTTGCTAACTATGCTGTTTTAAATGTGAATTTTATACTTGACTTCCTTTAGTAAGGTTTTATTTTATTTATTTTTTTGGTTAACTTTGCTGTGTTAAATGTGCCTTCTGTAGTTGACCTCCTTTGCAATGTTTTATTTTGAAATCTTTAATATTTTAGTTTCCTGTTAATTGTGTTGCCTTGAATGTATACTTTGATGTTTTGATGGGTTGTTAACCGCTTTGAGGTTTTTCCATAAAAATATAAAGTGGTAAAAACATGAAATGAATAAGAATAAGAAGGGGGTGGATTAAATCAAGGGGAAGTGGGTGCAATGACTGATGTCGGTCTGTGCAGGAAGTGATAGAACGAAGATCTAGGCAAAACATCAGGAAGTAGCTCACAATAATCACAGCAACTATCTGTCTAGGTTAGGGGGGTCTTTTTCCATGGATAGTTTTGAAAACAGGCTCAGGCAGGTGCCTGATGGCAATGTCTTAGGCCAGCCTTAGGAGCTACACAACCCATTCACTCTAAATCTTTAGTTCCAAAGGGATGAGGCTTCTTGTTGATTCCTTTGCCTTTCTAGGTTTGTGCCATGTGGACCAACAGAACAAAGCCGGCTATACGGCCATCATGCTGACGGCACTGGCTGCTTCCCGCTCAGAGAGTGACATGGACACAATTGTGCAGCTGCTGAAAATGGGCAACGTAAATGCCAAAGCCAGCCAGGTATCCAAATGGTTAGCACTTTCTCGCAGGACAGGGAGGTGGATGTGGAAGTCAGGTGATGAGAGAGCCTTCCAAGGGCTTCTGCTTTGGCCAGGGTGGGGTGCTCAAAACCACCAGTTCTTCTGCTCTGAGGGCACAAGTGAGATTTTAAAGCCTGATTCTCTTCCCCCATTCCTCATTTGCACATGTTTGCATTACTGAGGTTTCGTAAACAGTATCATTGGCAATTCAGGAAATGCTCCTGTCAAAGCAAAGCAACACACTTTGCAAAACAGCTCAGTTTCTTGAAAGCTTTGCAGGCCCCAGCTTGATTGCAAGTTAAGGTAATTGTGAAACGCTTTTCAGATTTTTGTACTCTCAGTTGGCTTTTCTTTCTTTGCAAGCCGGATCATAATGCTTACGGTGTCAAATCACGCTTAAATCAAGAGCTTCCCCCTCCCCCAGCATTTCAGTTTTGTGCACGAAACAGAGGCAAGCGATTCTGATGAGCCAGAGATTGCAGCAGCCTTCACCCTCAATTCTCACCCCACCCCACTCCACCCTGGCCCTAGTATATAACTGCAACTTACACTGTTGCTTTTCTCCTCGCTGCTCCTGCAGGCTGGGCAGACTGCACTGATGTTGGCCGTCAGCCACGGGCGCCTGGACATGGTTCGTGCCTTGCTAGCTAGCGCAGCGGATGTCAACTTGCAAGATGACGATGGTTCCACAGCGCTGATGTGCGCCTGTGAACATGGCCATGCTGAGATCGTCCGCCTACTCTTGGCCACACCTGGCTGCGACGTTGCCCTCTCTGACAACGTGAGCCCTTTTTGTTATTTATTAAATTTGTATACCGCCCTATACAGTGGTACCTTGGTACTCGAACGGCTTGGCTCCTGAACAGATTGGCTCCCGAATGCCGCAAACCCAGAAGTGAGTGTTCTGGTTTGCGAACGTTTTTCAGAAGCTGAACGTCTGACACAGCTTCCGCAGCTTCCAATTGAGTGCAGGAAGCTCCTGCAGTCAATCGGAAGCCGCGCCTTGGTTTTTTTGACTGGTTTCGGGAGTCGAATGAGCTTTCAGAATGGATTAAGTTTGAGAACCAAGGTACCAAGGTACCACTGTACCTGCAGGTCTCAGGGCAGTTCACAGGATAGAATCACAACATACAGTGCACAAACCCTCTGTCTCCCATTCCACTGCAGGCTGAGCAGAAAGTGATAATTTGATGATGATGATGATGATGATAATTTATTATTTCTACCCCACCCATCTGGCTGGGTTTCCCCAGGCACTCTGGGCAGCTTCCAACCGAATATATAAAAACAATACAGCATCAGACATTAAAAACTTCCCTAAACAGGGCCGCCTTCAGTTGTCTTTTAAAAGTAAAATAGTAGTTTACAGTGGTACCTCTGGTTGCGAATCGGATCCGTTCTGGAGCCCCGTTCGCAACCTGAAAGGAACGCAACCCGCGTCTGCGCACGTGCGGGTCGCGATTCGCCGCTTCTGCGCATGCGGCAGTGGCAAAACCTGGAAGTAACCCTTTCCGGTACTTCCAGGTCGCCAACCTGAAAAGACGTAACCTGAACCGAATGTAACAAGGTATGACTGTATTGCCTTGACATCTGCTGGGAGAGCGTTCCACAGGGCGGGCGCTGCTACCAAGAAGGCCCTCTGCCTGGTTCCCTATAACCTCGCTTCTCGCAGGGAGAAAACCGCCAGAAGGCCCTTGATGCTGGATCGCAGTGTCTGGGCTGGATGATGGGGGTGGAGATGCTCCTTCAGGTATACAGGACTGAGGCCATTTAGGGCTTTAAAGGTCAGCACCAACACTTTGAATTGTGCTTGGAAATGTACTGGGAGCCAATGCAGATCTTTCAGGACCGGTGTTATATGGTCTCGGCGGCCAGTCCCAGTCACCAGTCTAGCTGCAGCATTCTGGATTAATTGCAGTTTCCAAGTCACCTTCAAAGGTAGCCCCACGTAGAGCACATTGCAGTAGTCCAAGCAGGATAGATAATCCACCAGTGCTCTCCATTCTTCCTTAAACACTTTGTCATTATGTCCTCTTAATTTGGCAGTTAATTTCACCATGTCAACATAGTCCATCAATTTCATAAGCCATTTCTCCTTTGTTGCTAATCCTTTCCACTTCTGAAGCACCCCAAGTTTCATAGACCCCATAATAGATTAGGTCAATGGGCGCTAATAATAATAAAAAATTTATTATTTATACCCTACCCATCTGGCTGGGTTTCCCCAGCCACTCTGGGCAGTTCCCAACAGAATATTAAAAACATGATAAAACATCAAACATTAAAAACTTCCTTAAACAGGGCTGCCTTCGGATGTCTTCTAAAAGTCATGTAGTTGTTTATTTCCTTGACATCTGGTGGAAGGGCGTTCCACAGGGTGGGTGCCACTACCGAGAAGGCCCTCTGCCTGGTTCCCCGTAACTTGGCTTCTTTCAGTGAGGGAACTGCCAGAAGGCCCTTGGCGCTGGACCTTAGTGTCCGGGCAGAACGATGGGGGTGGCGACACTCCTTCAAGTCTACTGGGCCGAGGCTGTTTAGGGCTTTAAAGGTCAGCACCAACACTTTGGATTTTCTCTCCTCCTGCAGGATGGCAGCACAGCTCTCTCCATCGCAGTGGAAGCAGGCCAGAATGACATTGCCATCATGCTGTATGCTCATCTGAACTTTGCCAAAGCCTCGTCTCCGGTGAGTTGCCATGTACAGTCAAGGAATCATTGCACCGGCCTTGTAGCGCAGTGGTCCAGCTCCCCGCTTGAGGCGTGATATCCAGCAGATCAGACGCAGAATGGGGGTCTAATGCACTGGGGGTCGCCCATGTTAAAATGCGATCCTTCAACTCAGTATCTTTTGTGGTGAACAATGTTTTTAGAAAACAAATTTGATGGGCTGGCTCTGCACAGACTTGTCCACCTGCCACTTCTGCCGTCCAAATGCTGTGCTTAAGTGAGCAGGGAACTTTGCACGAGGGTCAGTTTTGAGTTCAGGGGGCTGTTTCTGGTGAAGGGAAGGGCTGAGGAGCAACACAGGAGGCAAAATGAGATAAGTAGGGCTGTTTAATGTAAGACTAATCATGAAATGCACTTTTCAGGGGACCCCCAAACAGCTGAAAGATGAGAACACAACATCTATGTCCGGTGATGCTCAGTAACACAAAACGAGGCGGTTTCCTGTCTGTCTACACTTCCCTTTGAAGAAGTACCTGAGAACTTGTCAAGGACTGCAGAACCTAAGCATCCAGTGGTGCATAATGTAAGCATGTAAATCTCCCAAGAAATGCTATCTGTTCTCGGCCTCCCTCAACCCCTCCCATCAGCTGGGATCTCTCTCATCAGCTACACACAGTGGACTGGTTGGCTTTCCAGGAGAAGGAGCTCCCCCTACAGTTTCTGAGCAGCTACTTTAGCCTGATCAGCTGCAATTCTGCTAGCTATTGAGCCAAAGAGGAAGAATCAGTGAAGGACTTCTGGATACAGCTTCTCGGCCAACTTGGCATGGCTTAAAGGCTTTCCTGCTTTCTAGAGACATGTTTCCCTCTCCGCCCCACTTTCACCCAAGTCCATTGCAGGATTAAAAGTCTCTGCAAGGCAAAAGATGTCTTTTGAGCCTGAGCTGATGAGTTTGGGTAGTCCGGGGTTATGGAGAATTTATAGAGAGACAGAGTGAATGCCACACATAGGCTTCTGCAGCACACTTCTTGAATAATCTTGGGCATCTCTTTGTCTCAGCTCCTCCTCTCATTGTAAAATGGGACTTAATGTATTTTTAAGAGGCCTGCCTAAAGCAACTCCACACAGAATCCATTTTACTTTTCTCTTTTTCAAGACAAGAAATCCATACTTAAACACAACATTACTTGAAATAATTTGAGAAGGCCACACTGCGTGAAACAGGGCCCTGTTTTGAATCAGTGTTTCTTCATTTGGGTAGGAGTTTCTATGTGTGTGTGTGTTATTGTAATACAAACAACGTTGCAATGGAACAAAAATGAGTATTTGACACAAAGGTTTGAATGAGTGAATTTTGCAAATTTGGCAAAATGTGAATTCTCACTGAGTTCGGCAACTTGGTAAGAGAGCAATAGTATATTTCCGATGGGTGGGGTAGATGGGATTAGATTTCTCTCCAAAATGATAACCATTATTTGGCTAGGCTGCAGGCTGTTTCTTCTGCACAAGGAAATGTTGTGGCTGAATGCTGAAGGGCCTTTGCACAGCTCCAGTTAAACAGATTTGCACAGGAGATATTCTCCCAGTGAATTGAACCCTTTGCCCAGAGTGCTAATCAGCTCTCCTTGTCAGTTACTTCCTACAATCTGATTTACTGATGTTGGATGACTGGGATCTGAGGAAAATATCTAACTGATATTATTTGCCTAAAAATGTCGAAATAACAGTTCTAATTAGGCAAACCCAAAGTTTCCCTCTTTGGGATTGCACGAAGCACCGAATTCATTCATGGATGCTATGCAAGTTGAAAAAGTCCTCTTTGCTTATTAATTATTTGGAGTTTTAATATCAAAATTTATGTCTGTCTCTCCTAACAACCAATGATCAGTAGGGGAGGGGGGAAAGTATAATAATTAAGATAAACCATAGTGGTTTTTGGGGTTTTTTTTAAATGCCAATAATTTGAAATAGTAAAAGGGTACAACCTATTTTTATATAAATATATAAATATATATATATTAATATACACCAAGAAAACGACTATATAAATTATTTTAGTGCACAGAATTTTTTAAGGAATTCTAGAGGAGACGACGTCCAAAATGTTAAGGTGGGTTGTGACTGGCTGGGCGAAGGACTACTGTCTGAAGCTGCAAATCTGCCAGCCGATATATTTGCACAGTCTCTATTCTGCCTTGTGTAAAAGCCATTAGACACTAGTTGGGCTTGAAAACAGATGTTTATTTGGAGCCAGTTGGCTCTTGTGTTGCTCTGAACGCGCAGGCAGTACAAGTCTTTCTTCCTGGCAATGGTTTTCTGTCGCTGCCCCCAAAGCAGACATTTTGAACAGGCAACAGGAGGCTTTAGAAAACTGCATGTCTTTAGGAGTATGTTTGGAACTTGTACTTGGGCTATCGCCTCGGATAAATGTAATCTCTTTTAGGATTGTCATATGATGATATTTCTACACTTTTAAAGGAAGTTAAGGTCATTTATAGCCATAATAAACGTAAAATGATCGGATGTGACTCTTTCTGTTTCTAGCGGTGTTACTGTTAAAGGGGTGTTCCCTTATGTAGGCATGGCCAAACTTGGCCCTCCAGCTGTTTTGGGACTACAACTCCCATGATCCCTAGCTAACAGGACCAATGGTCAGGGATGATGGGAATTGTAGTCCCAAAACAACTGGAGGGCCAAGTTTGGCCATATCTGCCTTATAGCACTTGAGAGAGAGAAATCTGTAATATTGCCATAACTTTTTTCCCTGCACAAAAAGTATGATTTTTAAAAGAGGAGCAAGATTATCTCAAGGAAAAACCTGAGTAACCTTTGGTAGGTTGCTGATCTCAGATCCTTTTGTCCTCGTCTTTATCTACTCAATGAAAGCAGAACATTGCTGAAATTTTAGCATTGATAAAAAAATTCCATATGAATTTGAAACCTTCAATAAGTTTATTGAAGTATGGACTGAATGAAGACATTCACACAGAACATTCATAGGGGGACCATGGCTATTTTATAACATCACACTGTATGCAAAGTCAGTGCGGTTTCTCTCGAGCTCTTTTGGATGCAAACTTATCAGTTATATCATTAAAATCAGTAAGTTCCAGTTTATCATTTTCTATGCAGAGAATGTTTAGATCAGACAACTGATCTTGGGACATTGTTGACCATAGATAATTCTTTAGTCTAGAAAACCATCGTTTGCCAGAACAGTTTGTGAGCTTTAAATGCAGGAACGATCTAAAAAATGGTTTCGTTTGGAAAAGCTGTCTGAATTTTCTCCTGGGGTATTATTTGATACGTATCTTGGTGGCTGAAATTTTCTTTGTCAGAGTGAGCTTGTTTGATGAACTTTACTAAACGGTAAGTACATGCTTGTGTAATTGTTACACAGCCGTAGACTCATACGTCACCTGTTTAATGTTACTAAGCAACTGGGCTAGAGAGTAAAATCTGCCTGTTTTTAAAATTGTTTTTGGCAAGAGGCTGAGGCTACCCTAGATTATGAGGTCCTCGGTGCAGCCTGCTCAGCCCATACGTAAATCCAGCACTGACTACCAGTGGCATATCAAGGATTGCCCAGGCCCGTGCAGAGGGGGCAAGGGATGGAGGGAAACCGACGATTTTGTACCCAGGACAACCGACTGTGTCTGTCCCCCCATGCTACACCACTGATGACCAGGGCAACAGGCACATTTTACTCTCATTTTGCTAGTGTAAAATGATGCCTGGTGAAGTGTCACGTGGTTTCACCAAAGGCAATGCCACCTCCCGGGTGTGGGGCAGAGTAGGTGACGGTGGCAGCACCGATGGAAAGTGAAATGCCAAAATCCCCTCCCTCCACGTCTCACCTTTCATTCTGTCATTGTTGTGGCTCCCCCAGCAGCATCCTCTTGGCTTGGCAACCAGTGTGGGCAACACAGTTGTGCTTCCCTAAATGTGCTGATTATTATTATTAATAATAATAAATTTATTTATACCCTGCCCATCTGGCTGGGCTTCCCCAGCCACTCTGGGTGGCTCCCAACAGAATATTAAAAACATGATAAAACATCAGACATAAAAAACTTCCCTAAACAGAGCTGCCTTCAGATGTCTTCTAAAAGTCAGATAGTTGTTCATTTCCTTGACATCTGATGGGAGTAGGTGCCACTACCGAGAAGGCCCTCTGCCTGGTTCCCTGTAACCTCACTCCTTGCAAGTGACGGAACCGCCAGGAGATCCTCAGAGCTGGACCTCAGTGTCTGAGCTGAACGATGGGGGTGGAGACGCTCCTTCAGGTATACTGGGCCGAGGCTGTTTAGGGCTTTAAAGGTCAGCACCTTTAAATTTAAGCAAGAGCGGAAAGAAACACTCTCTCCCCCCATCCCCACCCTAACTGTTGTGGAAGAATCTGGGAAGGGAAACAACTTCCCTCATTTAAAAAGCTAACAAGCTTCTAATAGCCACTTTGGGCAATCGGCTTAAGCAGTGATTATGCTCCTGTGGTCTAGGGCTTATGCCTGCTGCAGCGGCAGCTAATCGGCTGCTCTCGAGTCTTAAGGAGCTGGCTCCAGGCTTTGGCAGCGGCTAAATAAAAGTGAATCGGCCCGCTGCGAGCTTTGCATTCTGCCTGCCCGCAGGCAACTTGGCTCTGAAGACTGGGGAACTGGTGCGGCTCCCTGAGAGAAGGAAAGCCAGCCTGGACAGGCGAGGCCATTCATCTCTGCAGGGGATAAACGAGGGGCATGTGGCTTTGCTGGCAACTGTGTCCCTCACTGCTGCTCCTTAGCATAGCTCTCAAAAGCCCTTCCAGGAAGCTGTTCTGTGCAGAAGTCAGGAGACAAGCAGTGTGCCAGCCCGCCTGACGGCAAGACGACCTGCAAATATTTTTTGTGTGGCAGCAGTACAAGTTTCTGGGTGGGGTAAGTGTACAGCCAAGAAAGCCCTTTAAAAAAAGAAAAAGAAATCAGAGGGTACCATGGGCATCATCCCCTATTCTTTCAATTTACTGATATTCAAAGAAATACAAAAATACATACCCATCACCAAGTATCGTTTTATAATATACTGAGGTAGCGACTTAGTCTATAATAAAAGTTTTAAGTCAGAATGAAGACAAGGAGAAACCTAACGAAAGAGGAAAAAACGAAAAAGAAAAAATCGAAAAGATACAGAAGAAGAAAAAAATAATAAAAGGACTTCTCTAGCTTGCAGCTATTATGTGATATTCATTCCTTAAGATCCAACCATTCTACCATCTATAAACCATTATTTTTTCAGTCTTCAAATCCAGATGATGGGCAGAGTTAGAGGCAAAAGTGGGTGGGGACACGCCTCCCATTTTTAAATGATCATAAACATTCGCCCCTTCCTCCCAGGGCCCAAACCTTTGGGGAGATACTTTACTGAAAAGCATTCTGAAAGTGCACTGGATCACAAGTTGGGGTGGCAACAAACGAGCAACCCCACCCTCAATAACACTAAGACGGCAGCTTTCACACTGGCCAAGAAAGAATAAACGAAATATTTTCAGTGTATTTAAATATTTATTAAACTCATTCACAATCTGGGGAAAGAACACCCCCCCCAAAGGATTTTCATCAAGGAACAGTGAAGAAACCGTTTTATAAAATATAACTTAGTGCAGCTGCAAGGACACAACCTCTCAGTGGTCAGGTGTTCACCTAAGAGCTTCCCAAAACTTGTGTAAGAAAACCACGTTCTCCCAGATGGTTTCCGGTGGCATTAGTGAACTAGGGGCTATTGATGCATTTCGGTTTATTACATCACGTTTTCCCGATTGTAATACTAGCACTTCTGTCCCTTTTGCTAACGTTCCTTTCACAATGCTGTACCTGTTGCGTTCAAGAACTGCGGCCTTTTGACCAATATACCAAATTTCATTCACAACACTGGGTGCGACACACTGAATGCCAACGGACAATGTCACTCCTACGCATGAATGCTTCTGTTCCTCAATTCACCCATGAAAATGGTTGGAAAGAATTGTATGCTGGCCTAACTACCCCAAATCTCCTCGCTTTAACGCCTCTGATTTTCTAAGTTGTTGGGGTTTCGGATGGATGCCCCTCAAGAAGTGATTAACACAGAAATAAGCAGTAAACTTCCCCTACACGCTGCTAGACTTCCAGAAGTGTCCTTTACATTGTGTGAAAGCTCAGCTATAATACATAACAGCCAGGGAAATGGAATAAACTGCTATGTGAATGCAGCCTTAAGACAGCGTCCGCCTGCTGTCCAGGGACTTGCAGCATCTCATGTTGACATCTAGAAAACAAACATGGATTGCTGTTCTTCACTATGCAGAAGCAGAATCTCAGGTGAGCTATTAATGGGGCTTTGCCTGGATTGCTTGCCTAGCCCAGAAGGACTAAGCAGCGACTTATGCGAGCATGAAACAGGGGTTCTGCACCAAGGGGGAGAGGATCCTGCTGTTCCCTGAGCTCCTGGTTACACTCTTCTCTCCCCCACTTCTGTCCTTACAGAATTAAAAAGGTAAAGGACCCCTGGACGGATAAGTCCAGTCAAAGGCGACTATGGGGTTGCTGTGCTCATCTCGCTTTCAGGCTGAGGGAGCCGGCGTTTGTCCACAGACAGCTTTCCAGGTCATGTGGCCAGCAGAACTAAACCGCTTCCGGGACACTGTGACGGAAGTCAGAGCACACGGAAACGCCGTTTACCTTCCTGCAACAGCTGTAACTATTTATCTACTTGCACTGGTGTGCTTTCGAACTGCTAGGTTGGCAGGAGCTGGGACAGAGCAACGGGAGCTCACCCCGTCACAGGGATTTGAAGCGCCAACCTTCCGATCGGCAAGCCCAAGAGGCTCAGTGGTTCAGACCACAGCACCAGCCGCATTCCAATTACACAATGGAAGGTGTACTGGACTTCTAACACAAACATTCTGAAGCTCAGGGAACATTTTTGACTTCATCAAATTCAGCTCAATTGTTATATACAGCTGTGGGTTCTCCTACAGTGGTTTCACCTATGCAAACGGCCCCAACAAGGAACCTGCTTGCCCCCTCAACCCTGCAGAGCCTAACAGCTTTGTATGCTATAGCAGGGGAGCACTGGAACAAAGGACCAGAGGCACAGCTTGTCATTTCTTTCTCAAAATCCCCAACTGTTTTTGTTCAAAGTAGCACCATTACTGCCCATTGTCTAGGAAAGTTGCCTAACAGCTTCCTACATTGGAATTTTCAAGGCAACCAGAAGCAGAAAAGGACCTACTGAATGATGCTCAGGTCTGGGCCACTGCTTTGACAAAATTCAGGCACTAAGCAAGAGGTTTCAAACATCTTCCCATTTTTGTGATCTGTTGCTCTTTGATTTAAAAAGACAAAAGTATGAGAAAGACATTAAAGCAGCCATTAACACCCCAAAGGAAGTTGAGGACTCTTCATCAGCATGACAAATGAAAGGCACTCTTATGTGACAGCAGGGCAAATACAAAAGACTGACAGTGCTTTGTTATTTTCCCTTCTCAAAGTAAAACATACCCTTAGGGGGTTTTTTGGGGGGTGTTCCCCTATATTACATTTTACTTCTACAAAAATCTATCCAGTGCTCATTTTAAGCCCCCCCGCCCCCCAATTACTACAGCCAATGACATTAACACAATAAACCATTGGGGCAGTCAGTTCTGCAAAGCTGAGCATTTCATAGACATTTAGGCCATTGACACTTTTCTTTACAAATGAACACACACAATTCTATCAACCGGCTTGTGCTTTTAAAAATTCAACCGCTCCATGCAAGGTGGCTGACATGATATAGACATGAGCATCATTCACAAGGCAACAGCAAAGGAGAAGGGGATGCAGCAAACGACAAAATCATCTCCAACTGCAATCGACCCATGCCAAATCAGCAAAAAACATGCTACATGCCTGAAAGGGGGGGCAGGGGGGGGAATGATAAAAATCAGGTTTTAACTAACTGGCAAGATTTGCAGTCAGTGATCAAGCAGAAGGGAAATATGCCCCCCCCCCCGCATTAAATATGCGAATAAATATTGCAAAAGTTAATTCCCCTTTTGGTTGCAGTCCCCCCCCCCCCCCGCAACATTTGGGCACTGCTGCTGAAAGCACCAGTAAGAGCAGCGATAAAGTACAATTCATGCTGCTGAAAGCACCAGTAAGAGCAGCGATAAAGTACAATTCGCTCAAAGCATCTATGCAGTTGTGGAAATACGAAAAGCTTCATGGAGCAGTGGTTTGCTTGGAGTGAAACAAAACCACAGTCCCTGGTTCAGACACCCATGTTCACGGCAAACTGCAAAGGTTTGGTTCACTATGACATGCAAAACGCAGCCCCCGTGTTCAGTCCCGCTTACTTCAGATTGGGACCGAACTTTAGCTGATCACGGTTAGCTCTCCACCATCATGTGCACCCATAACTGCAGAGAATCGGGGAATACCCCAACAGAGAGAGATGGGATGAGGGAATAAAGCCTAATCATCAACAACCATAAGAAAATAAACTTATAAATAAATAAGTCATGTATTTTATGAACATTATGTACATACAGAATGCAACGTTTTGTGCAAAGGAAATATATATCTCAAACATTATACATCATTTACATGCTCCACAATCAGAGGAAGTGGTTGGAATCTTTCACAGCTTCAGGTCAAAGGGGTTTTGAGTGCTTTTCCTTGGTATGTAGTGTGCTGTCCCCTCCGTCAAAGGAAGGGAACTAGATGTGTCAGGCCAAGAAAATAAAGTTGCCATTTGTTATCCTAGGATAGCAGAGTAAGCGGGTATTTTCTGCTTCTTCGTTACTGAATTTAGGACGGACTGGAGCTGCGGCAGACATTTGGAATTTACACTGATTCTACTTCCTTGAAAATGTAAAGATCCTTTGGTGAATGGTAGCCAAAGAGCACACCATGAGCTCAAATTCAGCCCACCTTAGAACATGTGGCAACCTGGCGCTTCCATTCACAAAAGCCTAAAAAGCGTCACATGCAATATATATATATATTTTTCAACTAAGGTGCAGAATCAGAGTTTTAGTGCAACTCTAGAAGGGGGCTAGGAGTCCCATTTGGCATTGCCTTAGTTAAGAAGCCCTCCGTTAGTAAGAGAAGGGATAACAGTATACAAAATAAGGCAAAGCTAAGGACAGGAAATTTGTAAAAAATATACCTGGCATAGAGAGATGCAGTGATAAGGCAACTGTAAACCTGTGACGAAGGTAGAACACACAGGAGAATGGCTTCAATTCCTGCTTTCTTGGCCAGCACAATCTATTGCCCTTTGTCCACCTGCCGAAAGGCACAAAACGGACCAGCACCGAGCAAAACGCAACAACCCCCTTTTTCCCTCCCCAAAGTCAGCCGGCTTGTCTCATTGGTTCAGTTCTTCCCCCCTCTCTCACCCTCCTGGCAACACGTGACAAGAGAGCCAAAAGAAAGGAATCAAGTGCAAATACAGAAAATGCAAGGTTACAAATCTACACGGGTCGCAAAGAGAAACGAGAAGAAATCAAATGAAAGGGGCAGGGGAAGGCTGAGAGAGATCTAGCAGCTCAGGGCCCACAGAGGGATCCAGGACACCTCCGTGTTGTCCTTCCTTTCTTTGGACGTTAAGAGGGCAAAAGTCACTGTTTCTTCTTTGCGGCACGGATGGCAAAATCCACTCTTTAAAATTTTCTCCAGTCTAGCTTGGGAGAAAGGGGCCCAGAGGCTCACGAAGGCAAGGCGAGTTCTCAGCAAAGGCTCATGTTCCCGATTCCCTTCCAAGCTTGCTTCATGCCTGCCTGTCAGGCCTTTGGAGAGAAAAGGGCCAGGCACAACGGTCAGCTTGTGAAGAGGACCTCGAGACACCCAGGTGTGCATCCAGAGAACAGCCACTGCCTTTGTCAAGTTACCGTCCTTCACGTGCGTGAAAAAATAGTAATAAGTGACCCTGCCCAGATTAAAAATGAGACTCAGAGGACAGCAGACATATCAGTGCCGTGGCAGCACTGGATACAACAATAAATATATCGCAACATAAAAACTCAACAAAGTGGCCCTGGTTTGTCTGCTCTGTCCTGTAAAGACAGTTGCTGACCGACGTACAGTTTCTTCCTTTTAAAAAAGGGAAAGGTGGGGGGCTGAGGAAGGGGGAACGTCCATCGAGTCACTCGGGAAGTGGCGTCAGACGGCTGAGAGACAACGGAAGCCAGGGCACGCGTGTTCTCCCAGAAAAGCAGCAGCAAAAGTCTGGAGAGAGGCACTTGGAGGCGTTGAGGTGAGCTCACGCTGTGGTGTCGTCTTCCAGGCTGACCATTTGTCTCTGTTGGGGAAGAGAGATTGGAAAGGAAGTTACTCAAAGGGTTTAGCTAGGTGGAACCACCGTAGAAGACAAACTGTCCCAATTAGGGATAAAAAGTGAGCCAGCTGACTGAGGAGAGAAACAGAAACCAACCTACTCAAGAAGA